ATTTTTGATACTTTTTTTGAAGAGACAAAATTATAAGAAATATAACTACCTAAATTAGATTTGCTCTTGCATATAAAGAATTCTAATTTGCTCTAATAGAGATGAAATAGGATTTTTTTGAAAACCTATTTTGGTGGTATATATAGTAACAATTAGCAATAATTACAACTTGGGTATACAAATTGTAGATAAAGTTGATGAAATTAGGCAATTCTTTAATGCATGCTATATTTTAGCATCCAAATCATTTTGGCAAATAATGCATTATAAAATGCATAAAGTATTACTGGACATTGTTCGCTTAGTGGCACATCTCTCTGGATATCATGCAGTTACATTTTCTAACAATGAATCTCTTGAAGCAATCTTGCAATGAGCACAAAATAAAAAATGACACTAATAGCTTGGTTCAAAGCTAATAGAAATCTGTCACTCACTGCATTAGCAAGTAATTACACTTATACCCAGTTTCCACAAGCTTTTGTCTTCAACAAAGAATCAAAAAAATAACAACTATATATTAGTAGCAATTCAATTAGCCACATGTATTTTGTATATCCAGGAGCAGGCAAATGATTTTATTTGCATCTATTATTGAGTGTCATATGAGAAGCTCAATCATTTGTTCATTTGAGAACAGTAAACAGATTTGTATATACTATTTTCAAAAATGCCTATCAAGCTTTAGGTCTATTGCAAAATTACCTTGAATAGGATCATTGCTTAGAAGATGCTGCTAAAGTATATTTAGGTTATCAGCTTCATCATTTATTTGCAGTTATTTTAATTAACTGCCAGTCTAATGAACTAGAGAAACTGTGGGCAAAACATATTGTAGCTCTTACTGATGATATTTTGTATAGTACACATCAGCATTCACACAATCCTGAGCTACAACTAACAGAACCTGAAATTGAAAATGATGCATTAAATCAATTAGAAACTATTCTTTTTATGGTAGAATAAATTACTAAAAGACTTTTCAAATATGCCCTGTCTAGAAACTATTCGCGAATTCAGAAATACTTTATTAAATAACAAATTAAACTATGATATATCTACTTTTACAGATTTCGTTAAAAAGAATATAGGCTGTTTAAATTTCGATCAGTGTGTCATCTTTGATAAAATAAAACATGCAATTGAAAGTTACAATCTAGTATGTTTTTTTATAGATAGACCTGCAGGAACTAGTAAAACCTTCTCTTATAACATTCTTCTTGCAGATATTAGAGCAAATAGAAATATTGCACTAGAAGTTGCATCTTTCGAAATTGCTGCCTTATTACTTAATAGAGGTTGTATGGCATATTCTCACTTTAAAATACCTATTGAGCCTGATGAAGATTCAACATGCAATATTTCTATAAATTTTGATCTTACAAAACTTATAAAGCAAACAACTTTCATCATTTGGGATAAAGCGCCAATGATGCATCACCATATATTTGAAGCTGTTAACCATACCTTAAGAGATATTATGTATTAGTTGATTAAACTTTGAAACCTTACCATTTGGTGGCAAGGTAGTTGTTTTCAGTAGTGATTTTTGTCAAATACTGCCTGTAGTTACAAAAGGTAGACACAGAGATATTATTAACACCAGTTTTTGTAGTTTTCATTTATGGCAGTATATAAAAGTAAGAAAACTGACAATTAACATGCATTTACATATCTGCATTAAGTACTTTGGATGCTTTAGGTATTAATTCGCTAAGAAACTTTGCAAACTGGCTACTATTGATTAGTGAAGGTCAAATAGCTAAAATCATGCCAAATAGTAATTACATTGATCTGCTACAGAGTATCATAATACATAATAATTCTTATCAAAATTTAATTGATTTCATCTACTCCCACTTATAGAAAAATGTACTTGATCCAATATATATAGTTGAAAGAAGTATTCTAGCACTATGCAATACAGAAGTAGATATGCTTAACTCAGAAATTTTTTTGCAATTCCCTGGAGAGGAAAAGATATACTATAGCGCAGATGCTTTAGACCAAAGCTCTGCTATGTATAATCCTGCTTAAAAAAATATTTATTCAACTGAATTTCTTAATTTGTTAAAGCTTAACAGATTACCTCCTCACATATTAACTTTAAAAGTAGGATCCCCTATCATTCTACTTCAGAATATGTATTTGGATCAGCTATCTCTGCTGAAATAATATGGTCAAACTCTTCAGTTGTACAGAGTTTGTCTTCTGGTTCTAATATGAACAACATATATGAATAAAGTAAGCCACACATTTGAGTTTTAATGACATATATATTTCCAAATACACGTCCAAATATTCCAGCCTTTACAATATTATTCAATAGTGTAGTTAATTTCAATCAAAATACTTGTATACAAAGATCTGGACAGTTTTGTGCTATTTGGCCTGACAATAGTTCTGCTTGAATCTCAGGCTATTTGGAATTGCATGTTATCATTATAAACAGATCTGTTTTGCCCAATTAATTGACAATCGTATAGTGTCTTGATACAATTGTTTCATATGTCGTAGGCCTCTGATAAAGCTTGATTGAAGTATTATATAATGACCAATATTCGACTAATTGGTAATTCATCACTTAATGATAGTACATTTTGAAGTCTATTGTATAAATCAGCACAGATCATCTTTTGATTGTGTTTCAAATAATTTAGCTGACTTTGCTTGATACATACATAAGCGTCAATGATATACTGCTAGAAAAGATGACCAGCCCTGTATAGAGCAAATACTTTATCTGGATTATGAATTCGTAATTGTAAATGATATGTATAGCTCTGCATTATCGATATATAAGTTCTAGAAGTGCTATCAGTTATTGAATCATCTTCAAACCGGTTAGCTGAATTATCAATTGTTGTAAGTAATTCTTCTTGATCTTTTAGATAAATACTGGGATGCCAACCAGAGTCACTATGTGGAAACAACAATACATAGTATAATGGGCTATAACTTTGGTGAATTTTAGAAATGTGTTGAAGACTACTGCCCTGTGTGTATAAAATAATTTCTCTATTTGATGACTCAACTTCTTGTCCGTTTCTAACTATAAGAACAGCAACTTCAGATGCAATAGATGTTGTATATTAAAGATCATTTTGGGTTTTAGTTATAACAATCTTTAACTCTTGTGCAGAATTTTGATTTAAATACATGATGCATTTTGAAAGATATATACAAATAGATTGACTTTGTGCAATATAGTTTGAAGTTGTTCGAGTGTGGTCGAATTAAGGTTTGGCATTAGACATTGTCTATGTTGTAATTGTTCACTTGTATCAAACATATAAATTTGAGAATTTAATAATATATTTAGATCTTCAGGCAAAAGAGAGCCAATATGATAATACAGTTCTTCTTGAATGTGAAAACTATATACACCCTGTATTCCAGTAACATGGTTATTGATAGTAACACCTATAGAAGTGAATACAAAAACAGAGTTATACATTCAGATTTTTTTTCAAAAATCACGTGCTTGAACACTTTCATCTATTAAAAGCATACACAATAGCGGAGGTGGTTTAGTGATAGGTGGAAGTTGTACTGTACTCTTTGTACAACAAATACTAAAAATTGGTAATTGTTTGGTGCTAGCCACTTTCTTATCTATCTAATGCAGTGCTTTGCATTCAGGATACTCAACATTCATATATCTATTGGTATGTGGAATTATAGTATTTGTATTATAGTTTTCAACACTTGCTGCTTTTGTATTTTGTATTTTGCTTCTCGTTACTTTTTTCTACATAATTCGACTTGTTCTGCAGTTTCCTCTTCATAATGGCATATATATGCTTGTTGTTAAGTACTTCAATGTTGTTTAGCTTCTTCAGTAGTTTCAGTTGCAGTACAGAGAGCATATGCTTCTCTTGCAAGATGGTTTTTTCTTTCATGAAAGCTTTCTGAGAGTCTGGCAGTTAATATTTTGTCATTATTGTGTGCTACGAGTCTTAAATATTGTTCTCGTTCAAGATGGTTTTTACATTTACAAGGTGTTTCTTGTATAGACTGTGTATTTGAAGTTATTTTTATTTGTAGTATCCGTAAGAGCAAACACAGAAAGAGTTAAATGTCATGATTAATTTATAGCAGTAGTTTTATAATTACATGTTGATTATCTGATTAGCACATATAGCTTTATGCTGTGTAACAAAATATTTTAAATGCATTAAATAGAATTATACCAGTAAAACATTGTTCATATTATACTGGTAGTATAGTATTAGTACATACATATGTATATACATATAATACAGTATTGGTATAGGTCACAACTCTAAAGATTGTCAGTAGTTGATCGTCAAGCAAAAAATTGAATTTGCGATTTAGAAAAAAATAAATGTAATCTTTTTTTCAGTACTTTTTAACACTTTGTAATTCAAATACTGCCTTATGACTAAAAAATTGAAAATTGGCACATATGGGCTAATATGCGGAAACATGTAGCAGAGATTTTGGCATACTCCAAAAAAATTTTTATGAAGGGTCAGATTATTTGACAATACGATTGATACAAAATATTAGTAACCTGTTTTGTTCTAGATTTTAGGTACGTTCTCACAAATATCATTCACATCCGGTAATTTAGCAAATTAAAATTTATTATTATATATAATGCACTAAACAAATTAAACTTTTATCTTCAAGTAAAAAATTTACGTGTAGAAAAATATCTACTGTATAAACTCGAAATAATGCCAAAGGTGTAATTTCAACTTTTGGCCTATATTAAGCTTAATTCTAGTCAAAATCTCAAAGAATGCTACTAGCCATTAGTTTGAGTTTATATAGTAAGATAACCATGCTATAATTAGTATTATATGATTAAAATTAGATGACAGATTTTAGTAGAGTTTATGAGAAACGTTTTATTTAGGCTAAAACAATAGCTATAAAATAATAACAATTTAAAGAAATTAATATTTTTTTTGTGTTTTTTTGTATTTTTTTTTGTAAAAAAGAGGGTTTGTTTTGATTTTTAAGTTACAATTGATCTGAAAATTTGAGAAGGCAAAATAACAATTTTTTGTTGGAGAGCAAGAAGCATTTTGAGCTAGACATCAGATAAACTACAAATTAATTCGCTATGTAGTTCTCTAAAGATTAGAAAAAAGATATGTTTTGGTTACAACAGTTGTGTATGACCCATATGGAGTTTCAATAAAATTTTAGTATCTCTATATAAGGCACAATTCGAAACAGTTAAAGTTGAAATTTTATTAACTAATACGTGAAAGGAAGTAGGGATTAAAACTATTTAACTGCTTAAAAATAGTATCATAGTTATGAGTAGAATTATGTAGATCGTGGAAAGAAAATATTTTAATACAGTTAAATTTAATAGTTAAAAAGTTGAAGAAGTAAACTAATAAGAAAAAGTTTTGGCGATTTCAATCTTTATATTAAAGATCTAGTGTCTAGGGGGTACAACAGTATTAATATTATAGTACAGTAGTATAAACATCTGTTACCACGTTAATATAGATTTATGTAGTATACCTGTATAATGACAGATTGATTGATGATCAATTTTTTTAATATATAGATATCAATATTCAATTTAAATATTTATCTTAATATTTATATTAATATTTATATCAATATTAACTTTAATATCAATATTTATCTTAATTTTTTTTTTTTAACTATCAGCAGCCTTGCCAGTATCTTTTATTAGATCAAAGCATATATATGTGTACATATATTAAACTATCTAAGTTGTAGATCTGATATCTCTCGGCTTCCCCTAGGGTGCCCAAGAGCGGTCTGCCTTACCGGTTAAGGCTATTGCCCATACCAGAGAGCTATACCAAGCTAGCTAGTGAAACTATATCAAAAGGGCTTTGCTTTATTTACTATAAATTTTTTAATTAATACAAACCAAGAATTTTTTCTTTCCTTATCTTTTCTTTTTTCTAACTCTTTTTTTTTAACCTTTCCTAAAGTTTGATCTTGGTTTGTAATAGGCTCCTCTGAATTCTTGCTCATTTGCTTTGTATTAGCAAAAAGCCTTTCAGATTTAGGCTTGCTTTTTTTCTTTCTTTTCAGAATAATATCTTCTTTCTTCTCTCATTCATTTATGGCCAAGCACCTTTGTTTCCAAATATTTTTAAAGAAAAAATTCTATGCTAGATTAACTGCGGTCTCTATGTAGTACTTTGCTTGCTTTAGAGGCTTTATACTGGCAAGGATCTTCTTGAAGACTTCTTCTTGGAGTAGGCCTTTGAGAATACCGGCTCTTGTTCTAATTTTTTCTTCTCTTGACTGACCCCAAAATAAGGTCCTAAGTTGTGTCTTGTTCAATCGATTTTTCACTTCTTCTGAGAGGTTTGTCCAAGCCAAATTCGATACGGATTGTTCTATTTCGCTCCATTTCTCTTCATATTTCTTACATCTAGTTAAGTAGTCTTGATTTTCTTTTTCATCTCTTCTGCAAACTATATAGTAAGAGTTCATATACAAATCTGGTCTCCTGTTAGCAAGCATTTTAGAATAGGCAATTTCTTGTAGAGGCACTTGATTAATACTTCAAGTCATTTGTTTTTTCTTGAGCTAGTGTATCTAGTTCCAGATTGATTTCTAATTTTTCTCCATAGGATGGGCCAATGGTAAATATTCATTGAGTCTTCTGGTTCTTCTTTTTGTATTGCTGATATTGATCTCCAGTCTGCACCTGTCTGGAAACAGAGTACCATTTGTATGAATTGTTTAGCAGACCCTTCTACTAACTGATCTTTCCAACACAAAGCAACGCTTAATTCCTGGGGCCTTTGTCTATAATAAGGTTACTATTCTCTATTTTAGTTCCTAATTTTGCTAATTTGTCTGCTCTGTTGTTCCACCTATTTTTACTATGACTTCTAACTTTAACTAACTCTAACTAAATGTTTTAATTTTAACTATATTAACTATA